GTCCGAGCTCAAGTGCTCCTAAGCACGGGAGGGCTGCCAGCCCTTGCTCGTCACTGATGCTCAATGTCAAAGGAGTTCTGCGTATCACGATACGAGATGCTGATGCGTGTCGGCTTAGCACATGGAATCGAAACAACCAAATCGTTCATCTCCCAGCAATGCCACCGCCGCAGCTCCGGTAGCGTTTCATCCGGAGCTGTTCATGGGCCGAAAAGCCCAGTCATCATTCGTATATGTGTGTTGCAGCAGCAAGTATGAGATGCGACAACCATGGGTTCATCTGCTGGTGCCACCAAGCAACCGAAGAATTCTCCTCCCAAGTAATATCTGGAGCGCTTGCCGCAAGCCACAGCCCGACACAACGGTGCATCTGCGACCAAGCATCGGGCCCAAAGGAACGGAATGGCCGAGGCAGACGTGGATTGGCCGAATACTGGCCACCAAACGTTGGCAATAATGGTGGCAAGCGCGGGCGGCGAGCTTCCATGTTGGCGGTGTCCCGAAACTAGTATTACTTGACATATGTATTGCGACATGGCTCTCATTTCATTGGCAGGCTCTCTCTCACCGGGAGAAGAACAGACCATTCGAAATCCCAGCTCCGTGGTATGCTCACCTGCATCGTGCGGATGGCGCAATACCACTTTTCCAACCAAGTGAGCCATGCTCAGGTGATTTGGCAACACCAAGAATTGAACAAATGACGAGATACCGAAATGAAAGGGGCCACTGCACATTTCTTGACAGTCCGTCTCACCTCAGTCATGGGGGTAATGCTTGCCGCTGCCCAGGTGAACGGCGACCAAGACTCCTCAGTGCTAGGAACTGGCGCCGGCCGTTGAGTCCTGCCAGGGCGTCTGTAGCTCCCAACATTACATGTCAACCGATAGGCCATTCCACACGTGCAGGCAGTGTCGGCTGGACAAGGCTGATGGAGCTGCGTCCTCTTGCTGGTCCAGACGTCGAGTCTGTTGTGGGCCCATGCTATTTCTGGTCGATTACTCCGTACTCGCAACTCTTTTGGTCGGCGATTCTAATTCTAGCAAGTGCTACTAGTAGTGTCTGGTCTGGTACTAGTAGTAGCACTACTAGTAGCTGTGATCAGCTGGCCCTTGGCTCTTGCCTTGCCCGTGACGGCGGATAGGGGGGCGTGTGGGTGAAGTCGCCAATATGAGATGGACATTCCGGCCTTCTCAGCAGCCACACGCTTGGTCGTCCAGCTTCAGCCTTGCATCGACATACAAAGACTCAATTGTTGATGCTCTGGCCAATGCGCGATGAGTAGCCAGCGTGCGCCAAGCACTACTCCATACTCCCTACATCAGCACCGTAAACGTCATTGGAAGGTGAGCAAGAGAAATTCACGGTGCACCAATGGCTTTCCATGGTTCCACTGGGCACGTCAGAGTGCTTCGAGGCAACTTGTTTGACACATTCCTCGGTCGGTTCAGTCGGTTCCAGCCGTACCTTGCATATGGTGCTGCCATTCGGGCTGGAGGATTTTGACGCAGCAGAAACCTTCTAGAGGGATGATTGCACACAGTGGACCGGACAAGTGGCGTGAAGCTCGAGCCGTGTCTTGGGCAGAGAAGCCCGAAAATGGCCAGGGCGCTTGAAAGAAGACTGGATTGCTCGGCTGCGTGCGGCTTGCGATGCCATCAGGCAGCATCGTGTCTTGGCAATGATATGTCCAGGTTCTGGTTGAGGTTTTTGTTTTGTTCAGACCCTTGTTTCAGAAACGTTTGTGGGTTTTCTCGTGTCTGAAAAAAATTTTCACACTTGTTGGTGCTTGCTGTCTTGTGCTAACCCTCTCTCTTACAGTTACCTGTTAGCCCTGTCTAGCAACTCACCCCCCAAATTTCAGCTCGATCCTCATGATAAACATCGATCGCCAAGAGATGCTCTTTTCCAAGAACCTGAGAGGGTCTGCAAACTTTGTCTGATGGAGCCGTGGATCAACTTGCTCCATAGAAGGATTCTGACAGCTACTTAGTCCAGCGTACTCCGTAGAGACCAGACGGCTCAATCGCAGCACAAACAACTCCATGCTATTACCAGCTCCACAGCCTTCCCCAGATGCTTGAACGCGGCTCAGACGTCACGCAAAGGACGCCATCAGTGCCGCAAGACGGAGGAGGGATTGGTGCAAGACAAGGCATCATGCACCCACCCCTGTTTGACGTTGAGGAGCAACAGTTCGCGCATCAAATGAAGACGGAAAAGGTCCTGGACTCTCCCCAATGGAGCCATTGTCTAGGACCAGCATTGACAGTGGGCGATGTGCGAGCAAAATCACCCAAGTTACGTGCCTAGGTAGCTTGCCTAACATGGAAACACCCGCGAAGTCCGACGTTGGCTCGAGCACACGCCGGCGCACAGAGAACAAAAAAGCAGCATTGCCAAAGACAAGAGGTCAAGGTCATCTTCACTCGGCCCCGATCGTCATATGCATGGCAGCTCTTTGTGTCATGGGCCGGCTCAAGATGTAGTCGGGATGCCCGAAGCAGGTTACCACACTTGTTTGTTTCTGCCGACTATACCAACAGGACTTTGATTGTGCCTTGAAAAACTTGACGGGTAACGATCCATCGTGGGCTAGGCGGCCTGGGGTATGCTACGTAGGTCCTCTGTCTCACATGCCGCCAACAACAATGTGCTGACGAGCGACGCTGTTTCAACTGGGCAGATAGACGAAGCGGCACGTACACATGTACATAGTACACGTTGTACTGACAGAAACAAATGATGCATCGACCCCTTCACCAAAGGCCGCATGGGTGGGTGGGTAAAATGAATGGTCGCCTTGTCGAGAGGCCGCTTTTCTGAGCTGTCAAACTATTTTGACCAAGACGCCCGTCCGCCCGGTTCGCCTTTCTCAAAATTACGGCAATCACCATGATGAAAACAGCCAAGGGAGGGCTTCAGGATAAATCAACCACGGTTCTTTTCCGGTTTTTTTCATTCTCGCTTATGCCCACGTCCCAACCTGTGCCGTGTGCCGTGTGCCGTGTGCCTTGCATGGCGTCAATATTCAACAGCGGCTACAGAAGTCGTAGCGTGTATATTATATTGTATACTCGGTACTATTCGTATATATGTACTTGCGCCAGGGGGCATTTATGTATATATTCTTCCATAACGACGGTCAGGGTCTGATTGCCGGCTGACGGAGAGTGTCCAGGTCTTACTTCTACCACCTCTACCATCCAGGCTGCCGCTCTTTCTGCCCTGCCTCTCCATTATCATAATTATTGTACTCCGTAGGCGTTCAATATTATCAACTCATGAGCCGCACTACACTAGTGTACCTCTACCATGTCATTCGCTGCCAATTGCCAGGTTTCATATATGTATGTGTACTATGTATGACACCGGCAGTTGAAGCAAACGGTCTGATTGAGTATCCGTCCATCATCGCCTTTTTTCCAGAACGGCGGAGGCGATTGGCGGTTGCTCTTTGGAAGGTCGTCTTTGCCTTTGCAAGTTTGGCCTTGTTCTTGGACTGACAGTGCGTCTCGAGTTTCTTCTTTCCGAGTCTGGGCGCAATTCACCCAGACATTCCGTTATCAAAATACGGCGTATGGAGTACGGAGTAATAAACACCCATCTACTCCGTACATACAGAGCTACCGCGGCTGACTGTCACTACCAGCCACTGGGATCCTGTCTCCTTTCAACCCCTGAGCAAAAAGTGGCTGCCGAGCCATCCTCATCGGTCTGTGCGAGCGACGATCTTTCTGGGGCAGATGGACCTCCTGAAGGACCCTTGTTGGTGGCCGGCTCAGTGACGGGTACTATCTTTTTTCGATACTCGGGTCCCTGTATATGAATGCAGCCGCGAGAGAGACGTGGTGAGATCAGAGGTGCAACATTGCGACATTGTATGTCGGCTGGCTCTACCCCGGCTAAAGACTGCTTCCTGGCAATGTGCAGCCTGCAACAACCAGACAAGGTAGTCGAGTCTAACAACTCGGAGTGCTCTATACATACATACGGAGAGCTCTTGGCGGCGGATGGCCCGCACTTCTTCCACGTCCGTCAGCTCTCACTTGGCGGCGTGTTGGAAAGCGACACATCACAATGTCGAGCCCGTCTCCGCCCCGTGGATCAAGCAAGTCTCGAGAAACGCGTGGCAATGGATCATTTCAAGCCTCTCGGTACGGAGTATCGGAGAGCTTCAGGTTTTGAGTTGCAGTGCGATACGAACGACTGCTGGTATCCTCCCTGGCCTTCTTTTTTCTCCGCGGCATTGGTGTTCCCTCTGCGGGATCTGTCCGTGAATATCATGTCGACTTGATGCGGAACTTGACCTGCGGGCGCAAGCCGTGGCTTGGGGTTTACAACACAGGTCCTGGTACTCCGCATGTATACTACTACTACCCTGTAATATGTATGTATACTCTGTGCTCGGCACTCGGTTCTCCGCATAGTACTACGACAAATGATGCACGAGGTCGATTCTGTGGCCGCAACGGCTTTTGAAAGCCCCGGCTTCCCGCGTCTCCTCTGGTCTGACAGGGCGGTGCTTGAATTAGTATCCTTTGTACGGAGTCACTACAGTCTTTTGGTCGCCCAAGGCCATGTTTTTGTTCTGAGCCAATTTTGTCGGCCGGGGACGTGGGCTTCGCCCATGGCAGGAAACGTGCTGCTCAAACAAGCGCGTATCCCCCTCTCATGAGAATCCATCCCTCTTTCTTCGACTGGGAGATTTTGTGGAGGGCAAAATATCTTTTTTCCCATGTTATGCGCGCGCGTGTCTCTACAGTCATTAGATATGTATGTACACACAGCAGCCCCAACCCCGTATGTATGTATGCACATATGTATGCACAATTTCCTCGTGTAACATCGTGACATCTTCCCTCACCCGGATGCAAAAACCAGACAGGGGGACGGGGGGAAGAGACAGTCCAGGCCCTCCACGATGCAACCCGCACCTGCAGCCAAGCCCTCTCCTCCTCCGCAAAACCCAAGAGAGTGCAGGTTTGGGGGTACTACTGCTACTTTTTCCCACTCTTTCCCGCCCGAAGCCCGAGGTCACCTCGGATGGGTGAGCATCTGTGCGGGCTCTCGCGTTGGTCGAGGGCGGCGGCGGCAATAGCGAGGGGATACACTGCTCCCGTGGAGTGATTTCCTCCCGCTCTGTTGGCCTCGTTTTCCGGTACCTGGGAGGTCTGGAAACTCGGTTGTTGGGATTTCTTTTAGACGCCTGCAATTTCCAGCTGCTTGTCACCGCAGTCTTTGTTGGCCGTGACGCGAGCGCCACATGTACGCCTTGCGGAGTACAGCATACATACTACATACGCCTCCGCGCTTGAACCACGTTGTGGTGATGAATGGCGCCCGGGGAGGGGGGAGGAGGGGGAAGGGGGCTTGCCGTTCTGAAAATGACATGCTGGTGTTTCTGTCATGTCGATGCGCGTATATGCGTCTCGGCGGGCGCATGCTCCGTGCCGTTGTCAGATCGTCAGAGATGCGGGCTTGTCCATTGCATGGTTCACAGTTTTTATACCGGAGTGTATGAGGGACGGAAGAAAAGCTGTCGTCTCTGCCGCCTCGTGCCAAAGGGGAGCAGAATACACCTCCCTGGACTGAACCCCCAGTGACGCATCGCACAAACACACGGGGCACACCGCAGGCACCACGAACCTGCTCTTCGGGAATTGACTCATCTGCACGGCGCGGCATCGTGGCACGGCGCACAGGCACACGGACGTGTAGTAGGAGTAGTCGTCTTGGTGCCAGCACCCTTCGAGTCCTGGACTCCTGGGACGGGACGCCGTCGAGGACGCCTGCCGACAGGGTGCGCTTGGTGGCCGTGCTGTAGTCGCCGACGTCTGTTCCTGCTGTCGGTTCACCCCGAGAGCCTTGCGGACTTGGGGGTCCGAAAGGGAAAACGTGCGGAACCTGGTTCGTGGAGTTTGCTTCTGGTGGCAGCTTGGCTTGTGGGGTGCGTTTTGGTGGCTGCCGCCGCCACGGGGTCTGCCACGGGGTGCCTGGGTGATCGATGTGTTTCAGCTGCTCTTGGGTTTGATCTGGGATGGGCGGAATGATGTGACGAGACGTGTGTGTGACGGTGGTTGATGAGACAGGATCGTGCGGTGGTGTGTCGTACGAAGATATTCGGAGCTCCAGTCGTGAAAAGTTGGGGGAGGAGGGGGGGGAGGGGGACTGGATCAGCAGTGCGCTTGTTTGTGAGGGAAGCGGCGTGACGGACTGCTCACCAAGGCCTGGATGCTGTTTGATCATCATGGCCGCCAACGTTTTTGTGTTTGTGCGGAACGGATGGGCTTGGCGGCTTCGTGTTCGCTCTTGGCTCTGGTTGCCGCTGATCGGGTATTGGGGTAGAGAGATGTTGGCCAAGAGCAGCTTCATGAGCGTTGATGGGAGATGATGGAGGCTGCTGTTTGTGAGTCGAGTTGCGATGGTATATGCCGAGTTTCATCCATACTTGCAAGATGCTGTCGTGGCACATCTTGTCACGAAAAAGCCTCGACTCGGCTGCCTAACATGGAGCTCATATTCTTGTTTGGGCGGCGTATATGTATCCTGTGGTGAGTCTGAAGAACATATCACGAACCCGGTCGAAACTATCTGACCTTATCTTTGTTGCAGAGTTGGTGCTTAAATCGCCTCGCTCCAGCAGCTGAGACTATGTTGATTGCATCATCTCGTCTCGACTCATGTGGGGGGAACCTACTTTCCTCATGGCAAGCGCAAATGAGTTTGGTGTTGGCCAACAGACGCTATGTGCCCAGAGCCTCCGCGTGTTGCTGAGGTTATTCGAAAATTGACCACAGACAAAACGCCAGAAATCAAGCGCCGTCTTTCGGTCTTTTATCTACAGGGCCGAGCTGTTGACATGCGTCAAAGGGACCCAAGCGTAATATATAGGTGACGTACACATCTTGAACACTGATACGTGAAATGACAAGCAAACAGGCCATCCACCACAACACACCCAATCCATGAACCTCGATAATCATCAGCTGGCCGGTCTTGTGCGGCGAGATAATTTTGACGTTGTCAGTCCGGAAGGCGGCTTGTTTGCTGTTGTAGACTTCAAGAGGCACTGATTCACCCTTTGGAGGATGCTGCACAGAGTTACAGTTTCGTGCGTGATGTGGAAAGACTCGTGGTACATTGTCGATGACAGCGCTAGGATGGCTAAACTTGGCTCATGGTCTGCGTCAATACCTTGTCGGCGAATGAAGGGTCTGAAGTCGTCGGCTTGTATGGACTTGTTGTCCGGCCACCTGGAAACAGTGACGATTTGGGGTGTTTCTGGCTAAAGGCCTCTGCATGCCGACGCCAATATTGGGTCTGTGGCCGAGGAGAGGCGCGACCTGTGCTATTGTAGGACGTTGGACGGATGTTGGGATATCTCTAAACTCAAGGTATGTATGGAATTGAAACCCTCCAAGTTGTGGTTTCGGGAGCACCGTGTAAGCTGATTGGCTCGAGAGTCGTTGTGGAACCCCCTGACGACCTCGCAACTAGTTTCAACTCGCAAAGGCCGCATCAATATCGCGGTCGACCAAACTTCAGGGTATACAAGTCGTTCTGGCAAAATTTCATGTTTCTCTTTGGCTGAGAGAGCGTGAATGAATTTCGAGGGATTCTTTGCAAGCCGAGTCAAACTAATCTGCACGCGCCGAGTATCCTGCAGGTCTCCGTACACACTTCCAGCAAGCACAAGGCCAACCAGTGAATAATGTTTCCTTCCACGCTCACAAGGCCACCTCGCTCTCACAATAAGCAGCCGCGGCACTTCATCTATTCTCAAATATATCATGGCAATTGCAAGGCTCATCGTCGCAGGAGACACTCGGCACGGCCGCGCCATTGTTGCGCTCCCCTCAAGCAACCCCGAATTCGATGTGATCATCATCTGCCGAGATGCCAACAAGGCATCGCCTTCCATCTCAGGCGTAACTTCCATCCAATTCAACCACGCATCCATCACGATGCCCCCGTATGCACCATCATCGCCAAAGGCATCGACCTTAAGTACCTCGCGTCGCACAAGAAGCCGGCCTGCGTCACAAATTTCCTTCTTGACAACACACTGGACATCCTATATTCATGGGACTGTATCCCTCCCTCACTGGCCTGAACCAGCGTCAGTCTTTACCCCCCGCATGTTCGTGTCTCTCGCCGCAAAGGCAAGTCGACGAACATGTATTGCAGGTGACCGGTCAAATGAGGACTCATGTTGCTGAGGTGTGTGCAACCGTGGAGCAGGCAGCCCGTACGAGGACGTGACGAGTTGACTTTGTCGCAGGACCTTGTCGGCGGCGAATACGTCCGGGTGCATAGCGGAGGAGCTCGAGCAATCAATCGCCAATCTTCACATCTCTTGATTCATATGTCAGTCGAGAAAACCACCATAACAGAAAGGGGCACATTGGTATCGACAGACACGACCGGGCATCCAAGCATCAGCAACAGCACCCCCTCCCATCACCACGTACATCTCCATCTAATCACCTCTCACTGCAGAGCCCCAACCACTCCGAATGACGAAACACAACCTGAGCATCACAGCTCACCGCATAACAGCCGTCTCATCAGAATGCGGGGTCCCAATGTTGAATCCCCAGGCTGGAAGTCATCGACAGCCCTTTCCGCTGCGCCCCCACAGCCGATCTCATCAGCACCGTTAATCACGAACATTATTGTGACGCCGCCACGGCTATCCTATTGGTACGTTCATGTCCGTCTCCAAGTGTAACACGCCTCGCGTCCGCGACAGAGACCCGAATTGGACGGGGACATGCATGCCCCGGCATGACGGAAGGGCTCCGCGTTGTGTGTACGCCGCGAACACGATGGGCATTGCAGATGACGAGAAGCTTTGTTCTACTCGAACACATCTGCCTCCAACTCGCCCATAACACGACAGAATGTCCAGTCGACCAAGACCAGCCGTCTGCCTCGCCATATTAATGTTACAATCCGGGGGAGGGGGACGAGACTCGTATTGAGAATATTTAGGGTAGCAAGTGATAGCTCACCAGCACCAAGGCAAGATCCAGCGTTTATATCCACAAAATCCAATTCGTCTATATTTAAAGAAGCCAGCAGTCATCGTCTCAGTTGTAGTTTATCCGACTCCGTCCGGGCCAAGGCATGATCGTCCAGGCAGGAAATGAAGTTTGGAGATTCATGTGCCAGGCTGCCAGGACGACACGCCTATAAGCAGCACACGCCTCCTCCAAGTTGCATCCGTGTAGAAAACACACCGGCGTTAATGCAGCCACTCCAAGCGAGCCGTTTCATACATTCACAGCATGCAGGGACCGAAGCGCCGCTCGTCGCTGTGCCGTCTGCATACCCGGGGCTGGATGTGCATGAGGCATTATCTATCGTCTACGCAGTGAGGAGGCGGGTGATTGTTGTGATTTAGCCGTACGAGCCAGTCGCATTGCTCGATTGTCGTGACAGACTCGAGTTTTCAGGGCAGGTTGGCTGCTGCGACGAGGAAGATCCCAAGCTAGGTTTTGGAAAGAGAACCAAGACGAGTACAGGCTTGACCATGTAAACCAATTCCGTCATCGACAATTCAGGTGGTTAGAGCCTTTGCTGTTGTACCGGCGACATTTCGTGACGTGTCAAGGTAATCGTGGGTGTGCCCCGGACTTGGAAAAAGTACCAGGCAGAACATGCATTAAACCTCAAATAGAAGTGTCAAGCTGGTCAAACCACCAATGGAGTCAGACAGATGTGCTCGAGGTCGTCAGGACCGTGAAGAATGAAGGGGACCAGATACTATCCGAGGTTCCACTTTCACGGCTACGAACCGGATACGAGCCGTTGCTTTGTGGAACGTCTTGGCTTGTTTTTGGAGCCTATGAGGTTCTCTTTTTTTTGCAGGAATTGGCGTGGTTCCAAAGCAGTTAGGGAGTGTAAAGAGCCCCAAAATAGGAGTCACTCTAGGCGAAGATAGGTGGTTTTTTTTTTATGCAAATGCGGCTGACGTGATGTTCGCATACTCGGCCGCATGATGTGCTCGGTGATGGGCGTTGAACTGAGTGGCTGTGATTTTGGTTCGTCCAAATTATTCAATTGCACGCGGATCCTACTGAGATGGATGACAACGATGCAGATATCCATGTGGCCTGATGCTGAGGGTTGGTGCATCCATACAACTTCTTGTACGATAAGCATGATTCATTCTTACAAGCCGCAGGTTTCGTCAACCCATTGGGTAGAGGTTCTTTCAAGTGCTTGGAATTCTAAGGTTACAACCTCGGGCAGGTCTGCATACTACCGTCATTGTCCACACTCAGCTGGGCCATGTTGGAGACCGTGTAAGACATATTGTCATATCAACCGATCTATTTACAGCAATCGATCCACAGTCACTAGCCACAGTTAGCACCCAAATCCCAGAGTCAAGAAGGCTCACAATCCCTATGCCTGATCCCATCCCTGCCTGTTGAACTGCATGCGCAAAAACGATGCTGGCGGGTTGGAGAACACCGGCACATCCCGAATGTGAGCCTCGGAGCAACAAGAGTACTCCCCATCGTCATGCCCGACGACATTCACCGTCCGCGGCGGTGTGGTCAGTGAGATTCTCCTAATGCTCGTGACGATGTTCCTGAATCAGTGGGACTATCTTGTTGCGTCATCCAGCTTGGCAGATTCGAAAATAAACACCCTCTGACAGTAAAGATTGAGCGTCAGACCGTTGACATGTGAAAGTGGGCTTTGTTGTGGGGGTAACAGACCTGGTTTGTGGATCGTACGGGCCGACCAGACCCAGGCCAAGGACGGCCAGGGGAAGAGGGAGCCGCAGCAAGGGAGGGTCAAAAATGTATGCCACTGTCTCTCATTAGAAACTGAGGTTCATGATGGCCGGCCGAGGGGTTCTTGAGGCTGCCGAAGCAAACGCCCCTTATGCCAGACCGAACAGCAAACCGGATAAGCACAAGCCAAAAAGAGGGACTAAGTTTGAGAATTCAGGGTCCTCGGGGTTCTCAGGGCTCGTGCTGGTTCATGTTTGTTTTGCCACCATCGCATGCTCTCATGCATAGCCGACCCGAGGAATAGATGTCATCACAAAGTCCCATCTTGATACCGGCCGGCATGGGAAAGGAAGAAAAGCCCGAGGCCCGTTGCGCGCACCATTTATTGTACTTGCCGTGGCATTTATGGGCTGTCTTGCTGAACAGAGGTCGTTCCGGTTGTGCCAAGTGCTTTGAGCAACCGCGGTACCTACGAGGCTCATTTCTCGAGACGGCGAGGGCAACGCCTCGATGCGCGACATTCCACTAGTTGGTTCATTCACCTAGTCATCGGTCTTGGACTCTTGGCTGACGAGTGGTGCCGAAACCCTTGCGATGCATGAAAACAGTCGGCTCGGATTA